AGAAACCATTCCTTTCCAAATTACAGATTTCCTTGCTCGTTCAAGAGTGGATGAATGAATGAAATGAATTCACTTTTTTTTTTGGTAGAGTTTTTTTTTTTCCTTAGGGCATGCGCACTCGCCTGAGAGAGAGAGAGACAGAGACAGAGATAGTGAGAAGGAAAGTAAGAAATCACCTCCCAGTGGGGATGGTCATACTGCAATCTCCCCCCAGGATCTTAGGTACACACGTACACACGCCTGGTGTGAGTTTCAAGCCACTGGGTCCAGGACTTGAACTGTGGTCGGCCATGTGGGAGTCCAGCGAAATAATCACTACATTATCGGCTGGTCCTGGTGAAATGAATTCTTAAGTGAATATACTACTTCTGTGTGCCAGGGATATCTTGGAATATACAAACTGAAATCAGACATAGAACCTGGCCTCAAAGAACTTACAACCTAATGAATAATCCATACGTAATACAAATGCCACAAGGCTCATTCATCTCTTTCCTCTACCTTGGTCCTAGGTACATTCCATGCTGGTGTCTGTATGCACTCATCCATTAAGCATATTTGTAAAGCACCTACTGTGTGCCCAGAAGGCAGAGACAAAGAGCCAAAAGACCCAGTTCTCGTGCTTAGAGATTTCACAAATTGTTGGAGATGGGAATGACGAGATGGAGAAGACAGCACAGCCATATGCCTCGCATCGTCGTGTGCGAAGTGTGATGACGAGGATTCTTCAGCCTGTTCTGAGAGAATATCAGGATTTATAATGCCGAGAGACAATACAGCATGTAGAAGAAACCCTGGTTTCCAGTTCTAGGTGGGCCACTTACCTGCAGTCCAAGGCAAAACATAATGCAGCTCATCACCTGGTCAAGATCAAAGGAGATACCGTGGGTAAAAGCATTTTATAAGCTGTAAAGGACCATTCAAATGTTCATAAGGAGTTTCTTAATGACAAAGTTATTTCTGTCCTTAACAATATTATTGTGCTGGCTTATTTGGATAAAGATACCTTTTTCCCATTCCTTTTGCATTTTGGAGCAGTTTCTTTGCCTAGTGGCTCGATTTCCTTTCCCTTTTGCCCTGAGTTCTGTAGCCTGGACACTTAGTGAGAGTCTAGCAGAGGCCCATGTCCCCCGACAGATGCCAGAGTAGCTTCTAGGCAGTTCATCACATTACAGAGTTCTCACTTCGCTAGGAGAAGAACAGCTTGTTTCTGGAATGTCATTCTCCTTGCACTCAATCCTAGCTGGGAGAGGAGACTGGGCTGGAAATCTCCCAGTTTAACTGCAGAGCGTAGGGAATGTCTTATTTGTTCCAGCAAGGGAATTGTAACTGAAATAAAATGCAGTAAAATATTCTAGAAAACACCTTCCAACTGCTTTTGGCTTGTGAATGCCTTTCTCCATAGCACAAAAACTCTTGAAAATCTTTAGAAACTTAAAAAATATATGTTTTTGTTGGAATATGATAAATTATTTTTACTTTATTTTTAGATTAGCACCTTACTAAATATTATAGTGCTGATTTAATATAATACGTAATATTCACAAAAAAGGGACCATCTCTTGTTCTGTTGCAAACTGAACTGAAGTTTTCAGGGGTGATGTCATGATGTCTGGGGTTTATATATTAAAATACTTCACACACAGAAAGGGTAAGGCAAATATGAAAAAAATATTAACAGTGATTGCATCTTGGTGATGAAGACTCCTTAAACATTTCCCTCTATTTTTTGTATGTGTTTGAAAATTTTTATAAGTTAAAAAAAAACAAAACACGTAGTAAAATAAAATATGGTAGAGAGGTCCTACCCCACTGGCTCCCTCTAGTGGCTAGCCGAGTGCAAACAGACTGCCTGCCTGAGTCTGGAGTATGCTCAACCCGCCCCATAAAAGAAAACAAATGGATGTGTCAGATGTATTCATCCAGTGGAAAGTCAAGACTTGTCAGTCACTCATCATCAGATACTCACAAGGAGACTCTCAAACCGTTTTGTCCTTTTATTTGTTTTTATCGTGCTTTTAAAAATAGAAATTAAATAGTCACTATTAATTCTTTTAACAACTTGAATCCGGAGGAACAGCTTCTGAACCTTTGTGAGTGTGGGCATCACCAGCTGGAATGGCTACAGCAAGACAGCAGGTGTTGGGTGTCATGGCTGAGGTTGCCTGGGAAGGTTTCCATAGGCGGCCAGTTACTTAAATATGAACACCACATTGAAAGCCTCAGTCCTTTCTTTTCTTTGGGGAAA